AATGAGCAAATTAGTTAAAATTGCTATTATTCGAAAATTAGAGAACGAAACCTGATGGTTTTCTTTTATTATTTGTCACAATATCTTGCGGAATTCTTTCGAGTATCTCGCCTATATGAACTGTATCGTTTATTATAGTGTTGTAGGGTATTCAACGGTCGGCCCCGCTCGACTGTAGCCTTTGCTTACTTGTTTTGAAATTAACCCTGAAATTATAATTCAACGAAATTGGTTTCCTGAAACTTTTTGGGACAAATGTAAGTTCCTCATTGTTTGATGTGTAATTGTATGGCATAACATGTACTTCTGGTACCCAAATGGTGACGTATTGTTGTAAAAGTTGAAAAGGGATTTTAATAAGCAATTCTGCATATTTTCAGTTCGAAAGCCAAGTAAAGAAAGAGTATTGTGGAAAAGATGAAACCACTCATCTTTTCAAGTGGCAAGTGCCACCCCAGAATTTATTACAAGGAGAGCTGAGATGGGGTTACCTTTGAATATGCAGAACGATGGATTTTTAATGCCGACAACTAAGTAGGAGCTACATTCTATAGCCTCCTCGTCGAGACTTACTTTAGCTATCTGCGATAAAATTAGAAGTAGAGACTACATTTTTAAGACTCCTGCCGCCAGCACTTGTGGAGCTGATAAATAAAAAATAAATAAATCTTGCTTTTATTTTAAAACGCAGAAGGCCGGTATGTGAAAAGGCGGCAAGCAGTGGGCTGCCATACGCAATTGAAAAAAAATTCCGTCTAGCCAGAACACCAACCCGACATCCATAATGGGAATATCATTATGACTCCGATAGGCCACTAATCTATACGTGATTCTAAAAAGAAGTTGTCAATGCAATACCATCTTGTCGGTCAATCGTCTGATCTTCAATCGAATGATCCTGTTTGTCAAAACGTCATTCACTACAGAACTGTTTCGGTAAAGGGGATTACAACGTGCTGCAAAGCCGTATCGCATATGTATTGCTGATTGTGCACTGTTTTTATAAATCTGAGTCGATTTTATGGAAAGGATGAAGGCGCCAGACATTCTACCACATTTGTAAGGCACCAACCGCATGGTACTACGAGATTTCAATGCCTACACCAACATTTTCCACAGCATTAACTATGGCCCGCTCGAATAAAAGGAGTGTTTGACATTTGCCAAAGTTAAGCACAGTGTTAGCTGGTATGAAAAATGACGTTACTGGTAACCCATCATTTTTCTTGGCACAGACCATATCCCTATAACCGTCTTTGTATGCAGTACCCTGATTTTATAAGCTCGAACTTGTAATTTCCTAAACAACGGATAAGCACACCAATCGTTGCTTCAGAAAGGAAAAAGGATTTTCGACATAATATCAGTTGCAGCCGATCTCTATATGAAGGTTCCCTTCCAGCCAACAAAGATTTTTGGCTGATCTCATCTAAAAACTCTGTTTTTTTGTGCTCGACTTGTCTCTGTTCAAAACGAGGCCTTACCCAAAATAATGTTTTCTTAAATACTCCCATCTATGTTCGATTTTCAGTTTGTCTATAAATACTACCTAGCTCGTCTACAAATTTCCCCTTCCGAGTTCCTCTCGTTTGTAGAGCTTCGTTCCACTCGTCTGTCATGCCTTACCGCTATTTTCTCAACTATTACATCTTAGCTGGTCTGTTGGTCAAATGGCCTATCGCTGCTCGAGTTTAAAGACTTTTGCTCGTATATAAAGTCTTCCTTTTCTGCTGATTTATTAATGAACGCATACTTTTATACCATCCCTTACAATATGGAGGATACATCAAATTTTTGCATGTCGTTGCAAATACTTGAAATATTTGTCCCACACCTCACAGTATATGCTTGATGGGTTTCCGAAAAATATTCCAAGAAACTTTTCAATCCCTCTGATGTTCCGGTAGCAAAATCTGACATCATCGCACTTGCAGCAGATCGCAATATTCATGGGAGTCAAATCTCCGAAATAAGACCAAATTCCCCAGTGGAGGCAGTGAGACTAGCGAATGAGTTTCGTCGTTCCAATCCTACTGATCCCACAGTAAGTTACTGACATTGGAAGTCAACCGGGTTGGTTTAGGAGCATAAGAGGAATAGGTGACTACAGAATTTGAAGTGTTACAATATTAGAACCGATGTGAGATAATTGTGGGTAAAATTTAAATCGTTCTCTAACCCTTGGAAGAAGGATGATAAGACCTCAATCTCGTTTAACTATGGACACCGACAAATATGAAGTGCACCCCGTGAGTGATACTTCGAGACGAAGACTACTACGTCATATTGGATCTTTTCCCGTCTGTGTGTGTTGACGCCTGTCGTACGTGAAATGAAGGAATAAGAAGCCCAAACCTCGTGGTGTTATTAATGTGTTCTCATGTTTAACTTCTACTTCAATTGTATTTCGCGCTCTCCAGACTGCATTGATGGGGATGATTTCACAACATGGCCTTCAATGATATCGTTGATGACATAAACATGTTGGTTGAACACCTATTTCGCGAAGCTTGTCGCCTTCTTCTACGAGATGAGTAGGAAAATATCCGCCACATATTCAACGACCACATGGTCTTCGGAAACGAAAAAACCTCTGAGTATGCAAGTCGAGGGGGACATGAAATTCCGACCACAAACTACCCAAAGTTCTTAGGGGCCACATTTCCACTCAAGCCACAGCTATCTGCGATAAGTTGAAGTGTCGGAACAAAATCTTGAAGGCAGCACTTGGAGAGCGGACAAGAGGACCTTGTTAACCTCATATAAAGTGATAGGTTGGTCTGTGGTTAGCTTTGCAGCCCCAGTGATATGCTGTTGTGAACTATTCAGAATTGCCAAAATCCGGTCCTGAGAACTTCAACAGGGTGCCTCCTCATGACTCCAATGGATAATTTACATGAGAAGGCAATACCACATCCTCGTAAGAGTCATCCAAACCATCATATGACCCACTCGGATTAGAATGGACTTATACGAACTAAATAGGGCGAGAATCTCATTATCAAGAAGCCTATCTGACTGGTCTGCGTAGCATTCATACTGATGCACTCACCGATGTTGTCATCCATTACCGAATGACCTAAGGTTACACCTCCAACCATTGCAGCTAAAGAATGTCGACTGTTCAGGCAAACAATCATAGTTTTGGCCCAACTGAAACTGATTAGCTGAGATCAACACGCGACATGTATTAATTTAACAACAACAACAATGGGCTCTAAGAATAAGATGTGTCGGTCTGTGGTTAACTATGCGGCAGAGTGTGGTCTGTGATTATTAGTGCTACGCAGTAAAAAACCTTTCAGACCTGCCAAAACTCCGTCCTAAGAACAGCAGAAAGGTGCCTACTCATGTCAACAGTGGACGAGAGTTACCGCAGGAGACATTTAAACCATTAAATGCATGGTGGGGTGTCAGAAGCAACCTACATGATACGGTCAAAACGTGCCTAGTCGAAATAACGGTTTTAGACCCTAGGTCTATTTGGACCAAATCAGTTTCAAGACATTTGGAGTCGATCTAGCTATGTCCGTTTGTATGTCTGGGTGGCTGGTTGGTGTGCATGATAACTCTCGAAGGGAGTATCCGATTTGGTCCAAACTTGGTACACCGTAATATTTTTGTCAAACTTATATCGAGTTAGGAGATGGGCAATATCGGTCTACTCCTTCTGGTACCTCCCCCACAAAAAGTCGAAATTTTCAAAAAATATATTTTCTGAAACGATAATCCGATTTTGCTCCAAATTTGCGTCGGTGTGAATAATGACAATATTGGTCCACTCCATCAAGTACCTCCCCCACAAAGGGTCAACATTTTTTCAAACAATATTTTTGTGCACAGAAAGTGAAACGATAATCCGATTTTGATCCAACTTTGCGAATCCTAATATTAGCATCAGTGCTAGGTCAGGTGCCAAAATCGGTCCACTCCATCAAGTACCTCCCTCACAAAGGGTCAACATTTTGAATAAAAAACATATAAAATGTGACATCTCAATATTTTTTATTAACCCAAGGTCTGGCGTAAAGATGAAAGATATATGTCCATTCCTTCTGGTACCTCCCCCACAAAGAGACAAAATGTTGAATATTCATGAAGCTCATAAAACGCGAAATGAACATTCATAAACACATTCGAAATAAGCATTCAACACTCTTCATAGTTCACACACAAACATTTTTGCTAATAAAATATCTGTTGTGCAGATGATATATATCTGTGAACTGAACCCCTTCTGGTAACTCATTCAGAAAGGTTCACAATTTTCAATACTTTTATCTGTTATAACTTGTGAAACAAGTCAACGATTCTTTAGAACTTGCTAAAATATAAATATAAATATAAATAAATAAATATATCTCTCTTTGCCAGAAACCTGAGATAAATATAAAATTTTGATTTTCTTGATCTTCCATAACTTGGATATAAATATTCGATTATCTTGTAATATTACTCATACCAATATTTTTATATGTATTAGATGAACCTTGAAATGGAATTCTTCGGTCGACTATATCTGGTACATGTTAACATTTTCTAAAAATTATCATATATGTCATGTAAAGTGAAGGAAGTTGCCAATATAGTCCAAACCTGGCACGTAGCAATATTTTAATCATATTTATTTAGGTCCGATACGAAATAGCTAATATTGGCCCATTTCTTGGGAACCTACTCCATGAGGGGTAAAACATTTGAATAATCAAGTCGAAATATTTTTAAGTAATCGTATATTGGCTAACCAAAATCTAAATTTATACTTCATTTTTGGGGAATGTGTCAAAGGAAGAATTATTCTAAATCAAATTTCATTGCGAATCTCTGAAAAAAAGAAGTTTGTATATTCACTCTGAACCATGACAAAAATATCATCAATATGAAGAAAATATAAAATTGCAATTGATATGTTTTTTGTTAACCTTTTTTGAACACAATTTAACATTTAATATAAATACTTATTAATTTTGTTTTTTTGTTCTTTTTTTCCTTCCAGTTGAATTATTCTTCTTTAATGTAAACAAATTGTGATCCATTTATATAGAACAACAACAACAACAAATAAAAGCGAGCGAAAACTTTTTGTTATTATAAATTGTTTGCTACACTACTCTTTCTCTCTTTAAAAGAAGAAACTGAAAAGAAGAAAAATAATAACAAACAAAGAAAAGAAAAACAATTTAAACAGTACTCTAGAAAACAAGGACTGACTGAAAACAAAAATAACTTGAAGGACTTTCCTCTTTCAAAACATCACAAAAAAGGACAGACAAAAAGAGGTAAGTACTTGAATTGTCGTCAATTGAAATGCAACTTGTTTTTTAATTAAATTCTTCCTTTTTTTCTCTTTTTGTTTCTGTTTAATTTCAGCTCATTTTATTTAATTAATTTTTATTAGTGAAATTTTGTAAATAAAAATACAATTTTATATACGTATATATATAAACAATACTTTGTATACGACGTAACGTATCAAATACAAACAAACAAACAGACAGTATTATATTGAATTTAAAACATAACAAAAAAATCAAAGATTTTAAACAGCTTATAATTTCACGTTCATTTTCTCCCCCGTAAGAATATCAACTGTTATTTATTATTTATTTCTTATTCTATATTTGTTTTATGTTATAACTGTAACTTACACTCTACACCAGTATTTAAATTTATGCGATTGTATTTCTGTTATATCATTTGGTTATTATTTTTATTTTATGTATGTCTAGCTCCAATCTGAATTTTATACACCCTGCACCGCCGATATGGAAATTTATGTAAATGTATTACTGATATTACTTTGAAAATAAGAACCCTTCTAAAACTTCTGTGATTTTCTCGTACTGCATGTGTCTCAATGTTCTCTCTATGAGACACTTATTTGATTCCAGTTGATTTCATTGAACATCATTTATATGTTAAAAAAACAACCCTGAGTCGTTGTCAGAATTTTAAATGAAATATTTTGGTAACTTTGTGGGCATATTTTAATACTCCATTCCTCAGATTTTTCAACATTCTTCAAATACCATATATATGGGAGAAATGTCCAAATCTTAGCCTTTCTCGATAAAATTTGGCAGTCATTACCGAGCTTTATAAGATATCTGGTACCAAATATCAAAACACCAAATCGGATGAAACATATACACGGGAGCTATAGCTATATCTGAACCGATTTTCTCCTAGTTTCATGTACTTCTAGACTGACTTCGGTAGGATGTATCAAAATTCAGGACTTTTTGACTGATATTGGCCATTTAGTGAACAATTAAGCCAAAATCGATGGAAGATATATGTATATGAGACCTATATCCAAATCTGAACCAATCTTGATAAAATTTGGCAGAGGTATTTCCGAGCTCTATAAGATATCCGGTACCGAATATCATTGTTATCGAATGCATATTACGAGGGACTAAAACACCAAATTGGATGAAGTATGTATATGCAAGCTGATCTGATTTTCACCAAATTTGAAGTACTTGCTTCAAGACTGAATTCGGTCGGATATATGGGAGCTATATCTAAATCTGATCCGATTATCACCAATTTGGACCAAACAAATATTGTTTGGAAAATTTCATCTCAATCGGATAATAAATGCGACCTGCATTTTGTTCACAAGATTACATGGACGGACGGACAGACGGACTGACATGCATAAATCGACTCAGAAAGTGATTCTATGAAGATCCTCAAAAGTAACTATTGGTCTATCTCGCTTCCTTCTCCATGTTACAAACAAATGCACAAAAATATAACACCCTTAGCAATAAGTTGTGTAGGATATAAAAATTTGGGGTTTTGGGGGTCAGCTGCGCTATACATGTTGCATGTATATTTCGGGTTATAAAAATTAAGCTAGCTAAAGATCTTCGCAGCGTATTGTGTATGATACAATCTTCGTCAATTCTTGCCCAATACGAATTGAGAAGACTGCACCACCATGAAAGTAATTACGCCAAAAATATTCTGGTTCGTTTAGGCACACTACGTTCTTCTACTGCAATGGATGGGATGTGGACTCCGATGACGACATTCATATTGCAACATTTAATAACATCTGTGACTACATCAGCCTAAATACGATTTATATCTGTCTGATAGACTTCTATAACTATAACGTGGGATCTCTCTAGAACGTGTATGTCCTTCCTGATTCGTCTGATTGGCGGAGTTTTATCCAACATATGATGATGTGGATAACTCGCATGGTAATGCCGAAGCAGGTATTGCAACGAAAGAATGTGATTATGTGGATGTATGGGAAGAATTTTCACCTGTTCATGCTAATGGTCTACTGGTGTCATGAGGAGCCATCCTGTTCAGTTCTCAGGGCAGCGGAGTGCTAGTATTCGCTCGTCCTCGTAGCTAACCACAGATCGACTTATCGCGTTATAAGAGTTCAATAAGGTCTTCTTCTCCGCGTCCAAAGTGATGCCTGCCTTCAGGACCTTATTCCTCAATTGCTGATAGTTGTGTCTATGCGGTTGACTTGAACATGCTATCATATGTAACCCTTGGATCTTTTGATAGTTAGTGAATGGAATAAAATGGCCCCTGACTTCTACATTCATCAATGTTCTCATATCTGTAGAACATATTGTAAAGAGTGAACCCGTTGACTTAGTGGTGGATGTTTTCATATTCCTCTGACACATATGTTATCGGCGACAGGATCCAAGGATCTTACAGCCTTTTGCATAGGTAGCGAATTCAATGCTGTCTGTTCCGGAGATAGCACCACACCTTCGGGCTCTTCCTTTTTCACTCTACGGGATTTGCACTGCTTGTTACGGAGTTTCACATACGATTGGCGATTATTAGATTACCCATCGTTTCAAACCTGACCGGAATGTAGTTATCTCGATAACCTCGACAATATGGCGTGTACTAAACGCCTTTGACAAGTTTCGGGCTACGCATACGGTTCTATGGCACGACTTGTTCAGTTTAGCTCTCGACTGATATGTGTGGATACGGCGTGTTGTGGTACTATATTGTGGTCGGAATCCATGTGGGTGGTTTGCAACTAATTGCTTCCTTCTAATGAGAAATAAAGCCTGAAGAGTAATTGCTATTGGCGACAAAAGTGAAATTGTTCTGTATGACTCGTCTTTGCTGGTGTCTTTGCCAGGCGTCAGTAGTGGGAACATCCGGACCATTTTCCAGATTTTGGGAACTTAGAGGGTGAGGACTACTGTGAGGCACTTAACTCATGGCATATTAAGTTGTTTCAACATTACCATTGATATTACGTTACATCACCCTTCGTAAACTATGTTGGTACCTCCTTGGAGGGAAAATATCTTATTCGTCGTGTTTTTTCGTATCAGTTACTGTTACGTCGTTAAATGTGACTGAGGTCCAATCATATTTATTCCCAGGGGTCGAGAGGGATTTAACCGTTACCCACTGCCGGTGCTTCTGCTAAGAAATTTGGTCCTATTTCGGGTATTCGACTAGCAGTTATAAAGCGAGCGGCTGCAGCTTTGTTGGTGTCTCGGAAAATCCTTTCTACTACCCGAACATAAGAAGAATTTGACAGTTGTCTGAACCATAGTTTGGCGAACTATCTGAATTCTGGCCAATAAGCTTCCCATGGTTTAGGAAAGTGCAGCGTTCAGATATTCTGAAATCGGGGAAATGGAAACAAAATTGATTTGAACATAGAACAAGAATCCATGACCAGGTGACTCTATGGTTAAGTCATGGTTTAAGAAAGTGCAGCGTTCAGATATTCTGAAATCGGGGAAATGGAAACAACATTGATTTGAACATAGAACAAGAATCCATGACCAGGTGACTCTATGGTTAAGTCAGGGGACGGTTCGATTGTATTATTCCAGTTATAAGGCTTTGCCTTATAGCCGTGTCTTTATGTAAACAGGTCATCTAGAGGATATTGTACTGCCCTAGAAGTTTTTCGAAACAACTTCCTCTTTATATCAGTCACTTGAAATACAGTCCTGAAAAGTAATCTTGTTTCACATTACCCTCAATATGTTTTCTAGACCCGAAAAATCTTAAATAATATAAGATCAATTCCATTGATGCTGCGAACTGATAATTTCCCCGTTATTAGTTCTGGATACAGGTTCTCTTGGCAATATTTGTTTTTAAAGCATTCTTTGGTGATTTACATAAAGAATACGCCTTTCAAATGTCAACGTATTTATATTGGGTCTGATTATGCATAGTAGTTGAAACCTAAGGTGTTGAAACCTTAAGCCTGGCAAAATATGTTTTCAATCTGGGAACGGACCTTTTTGACTTTAAGTCTTTATTTGGCTTTATTTTCATTCATTGAAGACAAACAGATTTCCTTTTAAAAGCTGTTGTTTTATTTTGGATCCATAAGATTAGAATGGTGCAGGGTGTAACATTTTTGGAATATTTTTATTTTTTTTATTTATTCGCTTTTTTGTTTAATTTTTTTTATTTCGTTACTTTTATTTATTTGTTTTGAGAAATTTTGTTGGTTATTATAAGAAAAAATGTTATCACTTTCTTCCCCTCTTCATGCAGTTCATCTACGGGTAATAATACCAACAGCAACAACATGGTTGAGGGTCAGCAACAACAGCAGCAGCAGCAAAATGGCGGAGCCGGTGCCGGTGCCACATTGGCTCAAAGCACCACAAATGCCAATAGCAGTAGCGCCAATGCCAACACCAACAATAACAATCCAAACGCAACCAATAACAATAATACCAATGCCAACAACAATAATAACAACAACACTACCGACAATGATCCCAAAACCAATTTGATCGTTAATTATTTGCCACAGACAATGTCACAGGAAGACATCCGGGCATTGTTTGTCAGTTTCGGTGAAGTGGAGTCCTGTAAATTGATCAGAGATAAAGTGACAGGTGAGAAGGAGATTTTAAATTCAAATTAATAAAAGATATATGCTCTGTTCCAGAACCTGCAAGAATTTACTAGTTTTGCAATTTTTTACAATATCATAAAGTGAAGATCGGTTATCGCGGTACAAATTTGTCCATTCTTGCAGTTCTGAAAGTGACCAAGTGTCATTTCGGCGAATGAGTTATATTTCTTTATAAATGTAAATTATTCGCAGTCATAATTTTGAATTTTTTTTTTTGTATTTAAGTAACAATTTTTAATGAATTTTTTTCTCACATTTCAGGTCAAAGCTTGGGCTACGGTTTTGTCAATTATGTAAAGCAAGAAGATGCTGAAAAGGCCATATCATCGTTGAACGGTTTACGTTTACAAAATAAAACTATCAAAGTAAGAAGAACTATAGATATGCTTTAAGAACATGTAGAGAAGGACACAAAATAAAGGGTGGTTTTTAAAAGGGCTTGACAAAGGGCTTTTAAAATTTAATGTGTGAAGATTATTTCTTGGAAATGTCGACCGCGACTGCGCTTCAAATGGTCCATCCGCTTAGTCCAATTTTGAAAAAAATATTTCCAACATTTCGGCTGGTATCTCACGTGTATTTGACCAGCATTTATATAGCGAAGGATTGTAGGTTTATTTATGTCTCGGAAAATCCATTGTGCTACTCGAACATTAGAATGGATGTGAAGTTTTCTGAAACGACGGTTGGTGAACTCTCTCAATTCTGCACAGTTAACTTTCCCATATTTAATTAAAGTACATATAGAGACTATTATGGAATCGTGTCTTTATGTGAACACATCATCTAGGAACTGATCTAGAAGTTTTTTGAGACACACAACTCTTTTTCATCTTAGTCCCATCAGGTCGCCGAGACACATTATATACAGTGTGAGAGGCAATTTAACTTTGTCCGTCTGTTGTAATCACGCTAGAGTCAAAACAAATAACGATAGGAATCTAAAATTTTGCACAGGTCAATCTTTTGTCTGCAGGCAGGTCATGTTCGAAGATGGGCTGGATCGGTCCACGATATCATATAGCCCCCACATAACGGTTCCCCCGATATTTCTTTATAAAATTTTCTGAAAATCCACAAAAGGAGTTTCTTCTGAATACTTTACGCCCTGGAAGAGTATTGTCTATATAGGTCCAAGATATTTCCGCATATCGTATATCCCCCACATTACGGTGCCTTCCTATGTTCGGTATTTTGATTTAAGCTACATTTTTTCAATGGAATTGTCTAAAAAGCCATACTATAAGTTCTTTCTAAGCATTTTATCCCCTGGAAAGAAATGTCCATAAAGGTCCACGATATCGTATAGCCCACATACGACGGTACCCCGCGATATTCGATATTTTGACGATTTTAGGGACATTATCCACCGGAGTTGTTTCAAATTTCGTATTTAGAATTCGTAATGGGCACTATGGCCTAAGACAGAAAATTGTCTATGTAGGCCCACGTCTTCGCATACCTCCCTCATAACGGTACCTCCCGATATTCGGTATTTTGATGATTTTAGCGACATTATTCACCGGAATTGTTTCAAATTTGGTATTTGAAGTTCGTAATGGATACTACAGCCTATGACGGAAAATTGTCTGTGCAGGTCCATGCCTTCGTATAACCCCAATACAACGGTACCTCCCGATATTCGGTATTTTGATGATTTTAACGACATTACTCACCGATGGCTTATGACAAAAGTTGCCTATGCAGATCATGTCTTCGTACAGACCCCAATATAACAGCTATATTCGTTATTTTTAAGATTTGAAGAGTATTTTTAGCGGATTCTTTTTTAATTTCCGAATTCGTTCCAAATGGTGGAGGGTATTAAAGTTCGGCCCGACCGAACTTACTGCTTTATTACTTGTTAAACATTTAGGTTTTCCAAATCAAATAAAGCTTATGAAACTGTTACAACAACAACGAAACGCATGTGGCCTGTTCAAACCATTGTTGTCAAAAAGATAATAGCTTAGAAATCACCCTTTATATAGATTTCAAATAACTCTTCTTCCTATCTACAAACAATACATTTTCTTTTAGAAAAATGTTTATTTACCATTTTCCTAATGTATTTATTTTAAGGTATCTATTGCCCGTCCTAGTTCTGAATCTATCAAAGGTGCTAACTTATATGTCTCCGGTCTTCCCAAGAATATGACACAACCAGATTTGGAACAATTATTTAGTCCATATGGAAAAATAATTACCTCAAGAATATTATGCGACAATATAACGGGTAAGTAAATATATTCAATATATACAATTTAATGGGAGCTGGTTTAAATTCCAGTCTTAGTTGTAAGCCCGCAAGAAGAAAATACGAAATATGTATATAACAAAGAAAGTCAAGCTATATGACACTTCCAAAACTTCGATTATTCCTAGGGCTGCTATTAGATTTTTTATTATGTGCGTAACATAATTAATCATATTAATAGGAAGTGATTTTACGATACGGATGTTATGTTATGACTTTGTCGTTTACAGATTTGGATATTTTGAGACAGGGTTTTTATAAGTTCCTTCTTAACGAGAGGTTGCCGTCAATGAAAATACTAGTTTTTTTTTTTCGAATGAAACTAAACTATGTATCTTTCGTCGTAGTGTGATGATTAAGTGACTTTGCCTATTGAATTCCAGCAGAAAGTGCTCAGTTACATTCTTTTTAGTGTTTGACTAACTTTATCCTGGTCTTTAAGAGATATGAATGATAATAAACATTTTCATTTGAGCGCAACTCACATTAGCTCGGGGATTGTTATTTGGGATATATTCATCATTGTCCATTATGTGGCGCTGAAGAAACTTAAATCCCGGCGGCAAAATTGAAGACATTTGGCTAGTTCATAGACGTGTTATTCAAAGATATGTGACGGAAACGGTTGAAGAAAGGAATCTTTGGATTATTAACAGTTGTCATACCCTTGCCAGGCTCTAAGTTTAGTTCTCATTTTAAGGATAAGAACAAAGAAGGCTTTGATGGATTTGATATCCTTAGATCGTTAAACAATTGCGATACCCTTACCAGGCTCTAAGAAGACTTTGGCCAATCGATGTTAGATTAGTGGTTTACAAGACATTTTAGAGCTTATATTGTTACGATGTTAAAACCAGAAAAATTTTGGAAGTCGTAATGGGAGGCAAATTCTGTCTTTGCGTTACTTCAATTTTAACTCTGTTTCTACAATATTAGTACGTAAATGCCTTCTGGTCTACAAGATTTGAAGGATCTGAATTTTAATATAATAAAGACGATTCTCAACAATGAGAAACTGGTATACAACATACGTGCTTTAAAGGACACCTGACTAATGTCTTATGTAGTCATTGAAGCATTAATAACATTTGTATACCCGTTTTCGACCTCAGTAGCGGGATTCTCTAACTCATTTCTAGAGTTACTATGGGTGTCCGTCTGTCTGTCTATAACTTTCGAGGGAAGTATCCGATTACGTCCAAACTTTTGTGCATCCCCCCAAAAACATTAAAAGGGATTTTTTCAAAATTTGTATCAGTGCAAGATCAGATGCGAAAATTAGCAATATCGGCACAAAGATTGAAAATTTTGAATAATAACAACGCTTATAAAATCAGACAAAAGATTCAGAGTCTGGGTCTAGTATAAAGATGGAATACATCGGAATACCACACCTTCTGGTACCTCCCCCACAAAGGGTCAACAAATTAAACCATACAACTTTCACAAAAAAGTAAAATAAGCATTCGGTTCTTTCCGAAATTGGGACTTCTCAATATTTCTACCAACACAAAATCTGGTTGAAGATGGACAATATTGGCCCACTGCTTATAGTACCTCTACCACAAAGGGTTAAAATTTTGAGTTATAGTTCTTATAAAATGTGAAATAAGAGTCCGATTGTCCTTGGAATAGAAAATGCGAAATTATTTTCTGATCTTTTCATACTTGGCATATCCCAATATTTTATTTTTTTCAATATTTATATCTCTCATTACTTGTAACCAAGTCAGCGAAATTGTTTAAACTTGGTCACCGATTTTCTTTAAATTTCTCGATATTTCCAATATTTTTATCCGTAGTAGATGAATGAAGAAAATGGAATTCTTTGGTCCATTATATCTGGTCCTCTACACATGCACATTTCAATATTTTTTTCCAAAAATTATCACATATCTCATAAAAATTAAAGAAGAAGTCAATCTAGTCGAAATCTGGTACGTTGTAATATTTATTTCATATTTAGGTCAGATACGAAATAAACACTATTGGCTCACTTGGTTCGGAACATCCCCTTGAAGGGTGATCATTTTGAATAATTTTAACGAAAAAAAAAAAACGGACGTTGTCATCTGTCGCAAAACCAACCGACTTCTTGATTATTTTTCTGTATTAATATCCATTTATTTACATCGGTACAAATTGCTATTGGTAGGAATGTGGATCTCAAGATGATCGAAAAATTTGGGTTCCCATCTGGCAAAAAATCAGATTTTCCTATGTAAAATATACCATAAATGTTAGAATATTAACCATTTAAAAGAGGACCGCGTACAAAGGCGTCCTTTGGACTCTGTTCGATTTTCATCTTTATTACTTCCTATTTAAATCATGCCACCAGATTCGTCTGTTAGATAAAAAAGACATAGACGTGGTCTTAGCCCGTAGCTGTTGGCTATGTGAATGTTAAGGGATTAGACCCATAAATTAAGGCTTGCATGTTTGTGTTGTTCCATGAACCATAGGATTTCACTATTAGGAAACTATTTAACCAATTATATATCATTTAAATTACCTTTAATTTTTATTTTCTATTATAATTTAGTAATTCTTTATAAATATAGTTTTTATTTATTTATTTTTTATACACAACACTAAACACTCTCTGTCGTCGTTATATTCTGCTCACTTAAACAAATAGGCGGGCCTATTGACCAGGGTATGTTGTTGTTCTTATTTGGTTTCTTGTTATCATTTCTGTGTGTTGTTGCTGTTTTCTTTATGTTCAAAAATCATCATTCAGTTTGTTTTGTATCATTTCATTTAATTTTTGTATCATTTCACATTTCGGGTTCAGAAAGCTTTTAATTGCCTTAAAACTTTATGTAAAGAAACTAAATTGAGCCAAAGCAGTCATTCATGCCATAACATAACATATGCTCTGTTCCAGAACCGTCAAGAATTTACTAGTTCTGCAATTTTATTCGATATCATAAAGCAAAAATCGGGTATCGTAGCAAAAATTGTTACATTATTGCAGTTCTCGAACAGATTAATACATTGTTGTTACAACTTGTTTTCCACGCCATGGAATTTATTGTCGTTTCATTAAAAAAAAAATTGATTGTTTTTCAAAATGTTCCAGGTCTTTCCAAGGGAGTTGGTTTTATACGTTTCGATCAACGTCATGAGGCCGATCAGGCCATAAAGGCTTTGAATGGCACCATACCCAAAAATGCCACTGAACCAATTGTGGTAAAATTCGCCAACAATCCCAGTAACAACAAAGCCTTTCAGCCATTGACGGCTTATTTGACTCCGCAAAATCCCAGGACAAGAGGTTTTCCAGCGGCCGCCGCTGCTGGGGCTGCCGCTGCGGCAGCTGCAGCCGCCATACATCCCACAGCTGCTGGACGTTATAGGTAAGCTGTTTCGTTTTGTATAAACATAAAAGGTTTTAAAAATAAGTTTTTAATGTTCCTTTTCCTTCCTGATTTGCAGCTCTGTCATTTCCCGTTATTCACCATTGACCGGCGATCTATTGGCCAATTCCATGTTACCCGGCAATCCCATTAATGGTTCTGGTTGGTGTATTTTTGTTTATAATTTGGCCCAGGAGACTGAGGAGAATGTTTTGTGGCAGCTATTCGGTCCATTTGGTGCCGTGCAGTCCGTAAAGGTAAGCCATCTCCCAGCTGACACTTCAGCCATTGTCTTTTTTGTTACTTAATGGCATCCTGTTCCGCTCTCACTTCCTTTTTCTGTTTTTTTTCTCGCAGGTTATACGTGACTTGCAAACAAATAAATGCAAAGGCTTTGGTTTCGTTACCATGACCAATTATGAGGAGGCTGTATTGGCCATACAATCTTTGAATGGCTATACCTTGGGCAATCGTGTATTACAAGTCAGCTTTAAGACAAATAAAACTAAACAAACGTAATTATTAACAAAATTGACTGCTGTTGTTAACCATCATCACCATCACCACCACCTCCAACAACAACAACCACATCTACAACAACACCATCAAAATCATCCTACTGGCAACAATCATCATCATTTGATGGCAAATCTCACCACCGTCGCCAATACCAACAAAACGTCATCCTTCCTATCCACAGCTTCTCTTGTCCATCCGGCATCGGTGAATAAAACCTGGATAAATAAGAATATTTGCGGCAATCTACTAACCACCGGTAAAAGTAGTAATGATGTTAAAACTACAACAAAAGATACATTGGTAACGTCTTTGTCGTCGTCCTCCTCATCATCGTCAAATTCGACGACAACGACTGCCATTTTAAGCTGCTCCACAACACAATCATGTACCACAACAACCACAACGACATTAAGCACCATAAACAATCTATCCAAATTATCCGTAACAACTAACAACAACAACAGCAATCAATGTTTGACGAACAAAAAAACGAAACAAGATTCCGAACAACAAAACCACAACCACCACCACCAAAATAATCTTAACCAAACAACACAATCAACATCCTTATTGTTAACCCAACAACGTTCAAATCTCTTAACATCAACATCCTCTTCATCAGCCACAAATAATACGTCCACAACAACAACAACGTCGTCGTCATCATCAGCATCTGGTTCCTCGAATAACACCAGCACCACGACCACAACCATTACACCAAATAGCAGTAACACCACCAATAACATCACGACGACAACAACCACAAATTCCTCGTCATCATCATCCATGATAAAGACCTCTAGCAAATTTGTCTATAATAAGCCTCAAAATCATTATGAACTCCTACGACAACGTCTCCATATGCAACAAGAGTTTGCTCAACTTTTCACCAGTCTGGCTCAACAGCATCAGCCCTTCGGCTCTGGCTCGGCATCCAGCAATCAAGCTGCAGCAGCAGCAGCGGCTTTTAATAACCCCTCGTTGGGTGCAGCGGCTGCCTCAACGTCAGCAGCTGCAGCCGCTGCTGCTGCGGCAGCTGCCTCCTCAAATGCTGCAAAGAATTCGCTGTCATCATTTTTACCATTTTCCAATTGGTTTTTCTAAAAGGATTTAGTTCGGTTTTGGTTTTTTGATTTTATTTTTTATACTTTGGAGTGATATTGAGGTGTGGCATTGAATGGGATGGAATTTTGCAATGGGAGACAAGATGTGTATTGAAGCAAGTTTTTTTTCGTGACCCAGTTTACCCGAACGAAATTCAATGTTGTTGCCATATGATTCCACATGGTCCGATTTTTTATTTCCTTCAATAATGAAATCCCAGTAATCACAGATCAAACTCCAATCGAGTATGCTATATAGGACACCCAAAGAACAATTGATGTTGTATGATCTGACAACTTCAAAATGGGTATATATTCCTAAAAACTGGATTTGAGAACTTTAAGCTTGAAAGCAACAGCTCGGTGTAGATTCACAAAGTCATTGACGATCAAAAGACTCGAAGATTAAAGCCATATCTTTAAAACCGACTAGAATTCTGGCTTCTTTCAAAATGGAAACGTTTCCTCCTTCCCAGTGACGTCCGATTAAATTCCAATCTAGACGAACTATAGTTTATGACTTGACAGGACGACCAAAATTGGATCCGATAACTTCAAGATTGCTGCACGATCTTAAAGAGTGTATATTTATCATTAAGGAAAATCGAAAAATAAGGAACACAGACTGAACCTGTATTTTCTCACTTGTCCAGGCTTATTTCTCACAATATTGATTAGTTATTAACTTCCGAGATAGGATGGTTGGTTGTTCTTAAAATGTTCCATTCAAGACCTCCAAGTTCGAGAGCATCTGGTCGTTTTATAGGCTCAGTGGAGATTCAGAAAATGTGTGGGGACCACAAGGTTCGTAGGTGGAAGCCGCATCTTTCCGTTTGGTCATATTTATATATTTCAAAATTCCGAGTCGTCTTTGGCGGAGTGTGCTTTATAACTTTACTTGGATGACTCCAGACCTAATGATGAATGATCATGACGTTAAGATGATTGCATACTCGTAAAAAGTTTGAGCTGCGTTCTCCAAGTTCGAGAGCAGGTTGTGCTATATTGAAACTATCAGTGACGACCGCAAGGCTCTTAGGCTAAAGCCTTATTCATCAGATATATTTCTTTTAATAATGAGAAGGATAGAAATACCTAGTCTTTGATGTTGAATTATTCGATAACTTCAGGATTATCACGTGTTCGTAAAAGATTTTATCCAAAAACTCCTGGTTTGAAACCAAACCTCTTTGTTAAATCATCAGCTTTATTGATTCAGGTCTTGTAGTTCGTCGTGGCTAGCCTACACATATATCATTGGGGTTTTTTATACTAAAATTTCATGATCTATAGAGTTGTTTGTCGATTAGAGGGAGAGAGAGAGACGCAGGTCTAATACCCCACATTAAAAGTTTTAAGCCGCCAACTTTATTGCAGTGACTTTGAGTGGAATACATTTAAAAAAATTTTAAAATTCGCCATTGGTCACTCTCAAATCTTTGGTTTAACAGAAATCCTAAAATCCTGACTTAGCAGGAAAGATACATTAGAATTTTTTGAATTACAACCTAACCTCAAAGCCCTCAATGGAAGTAGTATGTTATCTGGGTAGTGTAACAGCTCTCCCAATGATTATGAAGTTACATATCTTTTTTCCATAATATCGTATACACATATGCATAGTTAAGTCTTAAAGTACATAACGTGTGGTCGAAAAGGGTCATAAAATGTAAGGTTAGGATGATTTTTTTGGAAAATTACAAACCTAACCTCAACTTCATATTCTAAAGATTTATCCATACACCAAAAAAAAAAAAACATTATTAGTGGTTAGATTTTATGTATTTTATAAAGGTTGGATACATTGCTTAGTTGTGGTAGCAGAAAAGTCATAAAAATTTGAGGTTAGGTTGAATTTCTTTGAAAATAATAAAGCTAATCTCAATCTTTTCATTCTCAGGAGTTCTCTTTACAGCTAGAGAAACCTTAGGTGGGGTTTATTTATATATTTTATCATGGTTGGAAAATTGGTCACTTGTGGTCTAAAGAAAGTCATAAAAATGTAAGGTTAGGTTGAATATTTTTTGAAAATTTGAAATCTAACCTCAAACTTTACATTCTCAACATTTCCCTATATACTAAGAAAAACATCAGCGGTGGTTATATTATATATGTATTTGATCACTGTTGGATAAATTGCTTGGTTGTGGTAGGAGAAAAGTTATAAAAACTTGAGGTATATTTGAGAGGTTGAAAATAACAAACTTAACCTCAAACTTTACATTCTCAAGATTTTACTTTACAGCAAGATAAACTTTAGCTGGGGTTTTATTTTATATATTTTATAATGGTTGAAAAAATTGGTCACTTGTGGTCTAAAGAAAGTCATAAAAATGTAAGGTTATGTTGAAAATGTTTTGAAAATATTGCACCAAAATTTTGATATTCACATTCGCATAATTCCTTCTTTAACCAATAAAATATTAATAGTGGTTAAGTTATATAATTGTACAAATTGTGGAATCTGTAAAACGTTGTGTAAAAGCTAACCTCAAAATTGAAACATTGGAAGATTAGATTGGCCTAAATTCTAGATGCTCACAATTATTATTTGCATCAAGAGAGGTTAGATGAAGGGATGTCATGCTGGTTGGACAAATTGTGGAATCTTTTTTTTGGAAATTTTCAAAATATTAACACATAAACTTAAAATTCTTTCTGTCATTTCATTCAAATATTCTCCATAATAAATTTTAGTCCTCAATTTCATTCAATTCACCTCTAAAATCACTTATTTTGCAAAACAAACTAACATATATATTTTTATATAAATATGAATTTAATTTCTAATAATTTCGTTTCTTCAAAAGTAATATTACACATTTTTATTACAACACAACATCCCCTCCAAAATAATGAATGCAATTACATAGAAAAGAAAACAAAACAAACAAAAAAAATATATATATAAATAAATATTTTATAGAATAATTGCTAAAAAAAATATGTAGTAAAAATAAAAAAAGGAAAGTAAAAAATATAAAACAAATATTGTGTGACATCTATATACAAACATATACATATATATTTATTAAATTATTAAAAACAAAACAACAATCACAACAAAATATACAACATTTTTTAAAAAAACAATTCTCATTCAATATTGTTTATTACCAATCAACATTATGTACTTATTTTTTAAGTGTATTAGAAATTTATGTTTAGCCAATGTCATATTGGCGAGGGGTTGGAAAAGAAGTGGGTACTTGGTTCCATACTTCCATGGCCACATAGCTCAAACAGGAATTGAGTTAAATGGTATCGACAAATAAGTTTCGATTGTAAATCCTTCTTTCCGGGGGATTATTATTAAAATTTGTAATATCCAAATATTTAAAACATTTATTTGATTGAATACTTAATACATTCTCCAAGACAGTGTCTATCTCATGAACATATGTGAGCCTAAGCAACCCCTTCTTTTACAACCCAGCTTATTGTCCCATAATTTAAAAAAACACATATATATTTAAATGTAAAAACTAATTTCAATCACTCTTAAATTTCGTAAATTTTATAAAACTAAACTAAATTGAATTTAATTTAAATTTTGCTTAAAAATCTACTTTCCAAATATTAAAAAAAATCAATTGTGTTGAATGTTAAATAAGTTTTTTTGCTTTATATCCATACTACGATAATGATTTTTTATAATTCCCAATACGTACATTTTTTAACAAATGAAATTGTTGTCAGAAAAAAGTAAAAAAGAAAAACAAAAACATATACCAAGTCCTCTACAAAACAAAATGATTGTGTTTAATGTGAATAATTATAACATTTTATATATATTAAAAACAAAAACTATCGAGAAAACAAAACAACAACAAATATTATTGTCATTCGTATATAAATATATTTAATAACAAATCTCTAAACTTTAAACAAAAGATGGTGAAAAGAAAACAAAAACACATTTAAAAAAAATGATAGAAAAAAACCAAAACTAGTTTCTTAAGTCTGCGTTATATTTTTGTTGAATTGTTGTACTTTTATTTAATTTCTTTTAAATTGGAAACCTAACAAAAAAGGTCCTCTTGGGCAGGGTATCTAAGTCGAGTTTTAGATTAGATACCTTTTTCTTACATCTCTCTAAACACAACATTTTGTGTTTGGAAAACCAGAATTTAATTGTGTTTTTTTCTTCTTCCTCTTTTTATGTGAACTATTTATCAAATCGAAAGGTTTTTGTTTTGTTTTCTTTGTTTTTCTTTCTAGTCATTAAGTTAAAATCGTTTAATTTAAGTTCTTGCCCACGTTTTGAACAACTTATTTATTTTAGTTTAAGAAAAGAAGTTTCATTACTTTGTCTTGTTTGTTTGATTGTTGTTTCTTTTCTTTTGTTTTAATTCTCACAACTTGTTTTCTGCAATTGTTTCTTAAACTATATTTTTTATGTTCAGTTTTACTTACTCTTGCTGTTTCTGCTGTATTTTATTTAAATAAGGTTATGTTCAATTTCTTTTTCCTAATTTTCTTTGGATCAAAATAAAAAAAAAACAAAATGTTATGAAAACAAAATTGCAGATTTATTTTATTTTGGCAATTTTTTTAATAAAAATGGTTTATATAAGAATAATGGGATTATAATTAGGAAGATTGTTGGAAACATTTTTTTTGAGTGATTCCCTACTCATTTTAAACCTGCTGATATTTTTTTTTTAAATTGAAATTTTAATATTGAAATGACGTTGTAGTTTCTACTAACCCTTAACATCGATTGAAATTTTAATGGCCGGGCTTCTTTGAAATAGAACTAAGTACTCATTAGATGTCAATCTACATTGTAGCTCCGTCTACTCTGTACTGAGAGGATGCTTTCGGGATCCACTAAAGACACTTTTTCCACCTAACCTGTAGATATTTTTCTGGCAGTTGGCATCCGAACTTTTGCGGTATGTTGAGAGGGGCTATGCTTGGATCATTTCGAAATTTTTATTACAAGTAGTCATTTTTACTCTGATTAGGAAAAGTATTTTTTGGTGGGGGAAATACCGG